CCCCCCCCCCCAACTAACCCCAGTTAGCACACTACCCCATATGACCAAGATGGAAATATAGATATTCAGGGTTTGATTTTTTTTTTTTTTTTTTCCAATTAGATCACCACATGATACTATTAACATGGACAAAGATCAACAGGGCTAAAGCAAATAATAAATGTGTATCTGTGGCTAGTGCCTGAGCTCTAATAGAGTTCAAGGCACACAGTCAGGTTTCAAATGGCACCTACTTTCTTTTCTACCTTTTGAACAGATATGACTCAGGTGGACATTTACTCCCCAAGGAACAGTACACTCTCATGCCCTTTGCCGCAGGTTTTTACCTTCTGAATTTTATTCCACACACGTTCTTTATCACTACTTCTTCCTTCAAGGGTGTCCATGGCATCTGCCATTAGCGACTGCAGCTGTGGCACCAAGATAAAAATTATCAGTGTGGAATTCACACAGAAATAACTTCTCTAAACACACAGATTAAAACCTAATTAAAAAATCATTTGTACGCTGATGATTTTATTACTCATCTTTCACACAATGAGCACTGCCACCTCATCTTTGCTTCAGCCATTACACTGTATTATTGTGGATATAAAATACTTAACAATGGGGAAAAAAAATCCTCTGGAAAATTTGTATTTAAGCCTATACGTTTTAATGCAGTAAATGTTTATACTTAGTAAAGGAAGACTTGGGTTGTAAAGAATAAAGGCTCCATATTTCATTCTTTAGCTGTCTGGGATATTCTGTGTCGTACATGAATGCTTTTTAGTATTTTCTCCCAAGGCTAATGTATCATAATTTAAGGCAGCATGTAAAACCTCACAAGAGGACAACACTAAAGCTGAGATGTTTTTACCGTAGCTGGAAGTATCTAGCTCATTTTCCCTGCTTTTACTATCCTTTTTCTTTGGCAAACCCTCCCTTCTCCCCATCATTCAGCATAACAGAGCATAAAAACAAGGCTGACAATTTCTAGTGTAAACTATAAAAAGAAGCTGTAGGAAAATACGTGTTAATCAGTCCTTAGTGTTACAGGGCAGGCTAAAATTCAGGTTGGTTGCAGTATTGCCTCACTCCAGCACCTTTCCAGGTTAGTTATAGCATTGCCTCACCCTGCACCCTTCCCAAACACTTAAAAATGTTTCAGTCGCTCTTAATTCAGTAACAGAGAGACAAAGGCTGGATCCAGGGCGTCCTCCCAGGAGCAGCCATTGGCATCAGTGTTTAGGAACAAACTGAAACTTGTATTTAATACCTGTGATATTGCCATGCTCTATTAGGTCTATTCCAAAATGTTTAATTGGTTAAAGTGAACCCAAACAATAGTTTTTGGTGTCTCTTCCCAAATTTTTTACTCATTGCAAGTAGTTGGACGGTAAAAGCATAAACATTTGTAGAGATATTGTCTCTTCTTTCTATACCTAGATGGGCAGCAGTCTGAGTACATAAGGTGATGAAACGTAAACCCTGGGTGTTTGGGCTCATCCGCGCAAGATATAAAAATGCTTCCTTGAGGTTCAGGGAGCAGATCTCAATTTCCTCGGGTCACTTTTGCATTGAGGTATTTAAAGTTAAAATTCTTTGTCTGTGTCCCAACACTGGATAAAGGATGCAGGAATCTTCTTTTGATTCTCTAAATAAATATGCTGTGGTCGGTTCCAGCCTGCTTTCTCTGTGCTTGTGCAACCATTAAGTTGAATCTTATTGGTCCAAACATTTGAGGAATTTTTTTTTTTTTTTTAAGTCCTGCATCAGTATTCATGAAAAACAAAACTGCAAATTTCTGGCCCTGACTTTAATGTGAAAAGAGCCAAGAATCTGTCAGAAATTTTCCATCACAATACTTTTATGACAGATAATCTCCTTCTATGAATCCAGAATAGACGCAGTCCAGAGATTAAGGGTATTAAGGGCAGAATGGACAAAGCACAGCTCCTACATCAAATCAGGCAAAGGAGGAACTGGTCAGGGGAAGAGGAGGATTTCTCCATCTCTTTTCTTGGAGTGATTCTCTCTGAAAAACTGGTTGAACAGCACGTACCAGGACTGGGACCAGGACCAGGGTCTGTCACCCCTAAGGGGCTGCTCTGACAGACCAACCACGCTGGAGGTTTCACAGCTTTGGGCAAAAATTTAAACCAAGAATCCTTTCCAATTAAAATTTCACTGATATTGATACAAGCCCGTGAAAAGTGTCCAGTCTGTGCTTTGGTTTTAATTTTTATCACCCAAAGTTTTTCACCAGCTCCTTTGGCAGACAAACTGTTCATGCTACAAGAGTGGGCAGTTGGCAAACCACAGTAATTCTCCCGAAGTGGATTTTTTTTTTTTTTTTTTTTTTTTTGAAAATCCCCTCCAAGGAAAAATGCGGCATTTTAAAAAATATCTTGTCCTCATTTGATTTTAAATTGAAATAGCTTTCTGCTTTTTTAACAAGCTTTCATCTTGATTTATGATGCACAAATATGGTGACACTGAAATCGTAAACCTTGGAAAGATTTTCTTCAGGGTTTTTCCCCATTTATATTAAACTGTTCAAGCTAATTGAAATCTTTATTTTTCCAGGGTCTATGAATAAATACTGATCTGAAAAGGCCTCAGCTGAGGTTCTCTGTGCCATAGATTAGAACTCTATTTATTTAGTTACAGGAAGACATTTACACAGAAGAGTTTATAACTGAAATGCCTTTGGGATCCTTGCTGTATCAGTGCAAATTGCATTATTATAAATTCAGTGTATTTTAAACTTTATACAACTTATACTGTATGTGATAATAAACATTTGGCATGTTTAGCATTTTCTAACTCACACAATTTAACTGCCTTCCTTGGTCATAAAGCCTTATCTCCATTTTGCCAATGTAAATTTAGAATGACCTCAGAGGAATTACTTTAAATTTTTATTAGTAGAAGTGAGATTAGAGTTTGGCCAGCTCAGTTTTCTTCACAGAAAAATTTATCTGTGTCTTAAAGTTGCTGAAGAGTGAGGAGCGCATGGAGTCAGCATGTGTGCTGTGATTCCGACCCCATGGCCATGGTGGGGCTGCCTCCATAGCATCCACTGAGAGCCACTGAATCATACCAGTACAGCCCAGTCTTGTAGATGTTTCGTCCTGCCCGGGCTCCAGTGAAATGAGGAGGATGACAGGGAGGCTGAGCAAGCGAGAATCTTTCATTTGTTCCTTGGATGGTCTGGGCGTGCAGACCCAGCGATGGGCAGCAATGTTCCGCTCTTGATGCACTGGTGATGTGGTGGGGAAATGGTCCCGACTGGCATAAGAGGAGCCTGTGCCATGTGGGCTGGTGCCACCAGGAGAGATAAAGCCCATAAATCACTCCCTGGTGAAGTCACTCTGCAAGTTCTTGCTTGCAGTCATGTGCCTTAATACTGTGGTGTCTAAAGTTTACTAAAAAATAATTTAGCTACAAAGCCTCTGAGCCTCCACTTGCTTTCACAGACTAGATATATTTTACAGCAGGATGACAGAACAAAGAAAAATAAATGAATGCTGAATTAATACATTTTAATGCTCTGGACAAGGTAGCCGGTAGAGATTTTCTGCCTTTATTCTTTTAAAAACCATTTTTACCTTGGGCTCAGTAAACAAAGCATATGTGTTTCGTTCACTTCAATCTCCAAGTGCAGACCCTTGTCCTGCCCAGTCCTACCCCTAAGAGACTGAAGACCTTTGTCTGGGGTGGCCTAGAGCCTCCCCTAAAAAGCTTTCCAGGGAAGTCAGGCTTATGATTACTACATGACAAGATACAGACAACAGTGTAATAGCCTGTGCCTAACGTGTGATGTACTGAAAATATTGTACCCTGGAGAAAAACCTATCACCGAAATATCTACCAATAACTCAAGACCCTTTAGTCAGCCTGGAAATGTGGGCCTGCTGAAGTTTAATACTAGAAAACTTGCATCAAAAGGAGAATGGCTTTTAATAACACAGTTTCTTTGCAATGTCGTTTCCCCTTATCTCGAGCCCAGACTTCAAAGTCTGGCAACCACCTCCTGCAGTTGCAGGCCGCTGCTCATCTTCCCTAAAGCAAGCTGCTGTGAAGCTTTAATTCTACAGAGCTTAGGAGCTTTGCGGGACTGCAGACAAATGTCAAGGGACCGGCTTTGGGAAAACCACGAGTTTTTAGTGAACTGAAGTTGGATCACCAAAATTGGACTGTATTTAAATGCAGAGACTGTGGAGGGACTGTTTGGTGTGGGTTTTTTTTTTTTTTTTTCTAGAATGAAATGTTTAAATTTTGCATGTACGTGAGCTCCCTCCTCCCTCCCCATCAGAAAACCCAACAGCCTCATGGAATAATAATCGTTTGGTACCTTCTGATTGCAGCTTATCGATATACTATCAAGCTATTAATGAGTCTTAGTCTTGCAACAGCCCTTCTAGCATCACTGCCCTCATCTTACAAAGGGAAAACAAAAGCATAGTAGGTAGGCGAGCTTGTTCAGAGACAGGGACCAAGTCATAGATGGGGCCAGGAAAGAAAATATTTTCTTTCCTTTCCTCCCTCTCCTTAGCTTTAACTAGTTTTGGCCTGTTTTGCTGCAGGTGGCTTCTGATGTTAGATATCTTAAAGTAGCATGATCTGAATAATTGCAATCATTTTCCCAGACTGATCTGGGGAGGTTTGGGGGAAAAGAAGAGGTTTTAAAAATATGCCTACAGATGAGTCATGCTGGTTCTATAAAAGTCATCCTTGCAGGTGATTAGCACCTCCTCTGACAAGGCACTGCAGTAGGATTTTAAAACTACTTCAGGTCCGCACATTCAAAAAAATTACTTCCAGAGCAAATTGTAGTGCAGTGCTCTGCCTCAGTCCTTCCCTCCCTGGCTCCCTGCCTCTAAAGGCCGAAATAAGTATTAGAAATAAATACTTACCAGTTCGGCATCCTGCTGACTGACGTCCTGCAGGTAGGGAATGGTTGCTAGCTCAGCCATCGCTTGATTAATCACTTGGGACTGTTCCTTGAATCTCTGCAAATGGCCGAGGAGGCTGGCATAGTGCAACTTCTCTATCCCGGGTGAACACGCACAGTGATCGTCCTGTTTTCACAGCAAAAGCAAGTAGGTTAGAAGAGAGCGGCAGAAAACACACTTATCCTTTGAGTCCTATGCCTTGAGGCTTATATATTTGTAAAGGTAATACTATGAGCAATATGACATCCAGCACCTTTAAGATAGTGCTGCTGACAATCTTTACAGAGGGAAGAAAGAAAAGACTTTCTTGCCACAATCTCTCTAGTAGTACTAGAAAAATAAATATGTAGTCATAATATATGTGAAGGGGAGTCAACAGATAACAAACATGAATGCAATTTTCTCATTTGGAAATGGCTTTTCCATAATCCCCTCCGTTAAATATTACCTGACTTTTATGGATTGCTTTTAAAATTTCAGTGAAGAGGTTGAGGAAACTGTGCAGTGTGTCAGCTTATGGTTTGTTTGCAGACTAGGCAAATCCATAGTTTTCAAATATATAACCCTGAGGGACTTAAACCTGCAGAGGTGGTCTCTGATCATCCAGGCAGCTAGGCACATGGTAAATTTTAAGCATGTGAATATAGAAACTCAGCCAAATGCTTGCATAAAATCTCAGCACCTGCTGAAGTGTTTGATGGATGGCAGCCTTACCACCATATTTTCAAAAGTATTCTGATGCCAAAAATGCAAATAAGCACCCTAGTGAGATTTTCAAAAGCAATTTGGCCTAGATTCCTGACGAGATGCAGCCATTGCATATCTGAATGCTCAGCCCGTCAGAGTGAAATTTCCATTCATCTAATCAGGGTTTTGAATGTATTTAAGTGTTTGAAATTCCAAGAATTGGCATGAATTTTCAAAACCACTTCCAGTATTTTTAGCAGACCTTTGTTCCGGCAGTTACATATGGTGGCCTGCTGATGCTGCCATTTACAGAAACGTCCAGGTAGGTGATTCCAGGTCCAATTGTATATTGAACAGGGTGAAGGGAAAGTTCTGAATGATTTTTTTTTTTTCCCCCAATAAATTGTGTCCCGTTTTAAAAATGAACTTCTCTTGGCAAAGAATCTTGATCATTTGGTTTGATCTTGATCTTGGTTTTGCAGAAATTTGCATTAGGCAAGCATCTAGTGTTATCAAAATTATTATCGACAGCTCTTGCATCAAGTCTAACAACATAATAACAATGCTGTTCTTGCTTTTGATATGTCTTACAAGAATAATAATGGGAAAAAAGCTTAGTTTTCTTTTAACTCTAGAAAAATATAAATACCCCTTTTAATACAATACCTGATATAATTGTAAAATAGTATGAAATAAAAGACCATGCACTAGAGAGCAATGGCAGGAATGAAGCTATAATCTGGGAGCTCCAGATATGAAAGCAACTGCAAAAGAAAGAGCTGAGCCAATGAACTGGTGTTTCCATTAGCTGAAGGAGAAAATCAAGCACTGCAGAGGGAAAAGGCGCTCTGGTCAGCAGTTCTCTGGAGTACTGCGGATAGCTCCAGTCAGCTGTGTTTGGAGAGGTTAATTTAAACCCAAGCATCATGGAGCAGAGAAGCCAGCACGGTAGGGGATACCTCTTTTGAGAGAAGTGTGGTTTGATTAGTCTATTAATGAAAATGCCAAGAGCTTATTATTCTTCTCAATAAACATAATGCAGGGCTAAATTCCAAAGAGAGCAAACAACTGAAAAGGGAAGGAGAGAGAAAAGACAATGATAACAGAAGGACCATTGTGTATAAATAGGTACAAATAAGACTGGGGTGGCAATTAAGCTTCTTATAATTCAGGTTGAAGGTCCGTAGTGTGTTTCACCACGAGTAGAAAAGGCAGAAGGCTTAACCAGTGAGGACCCACCTCTGTGGCCCCTTTCCCTACTGCCAGAACCCTGACTCACACAAACCCAGCAGGCTGGTTCGAAGATGGATTTCACTCAATTTATGAGTAGGATATTAAGTGACACAAAGGTGTATCATAGCAGGTGGTTTGACTCGAGGAGCCAGGAGGGCCCTTCCAGTTCTACCTTCTCATCAACTTCTGTTGACCCACCTCTAAGAAGGGAGACCAGGGCAACCTTCTTACAAACTATTTTTATCACTTGAAGTGTCCTTTTCTGAGGTCTTGACCTAGTCTTAGTAGGAGACATCAGCAAGAAAAAACATTTCTGTGATCTCCAATATATGAAATTATAAACGTGATACAATCTAGTTAGCATGGCACTAAAGCAAGGAGCAAAATGGAGCCCCGTCTCCACCTGATTGAAAGCCAGATAGCTGTGTCCCCAGGTAGAGCTGTGAGCATTAAAATAAGGAGAAGCAATCAGTTAATGAGAGAGAAAGAGGGCTCTTATCATCATGAAATATGCTCACAACATTTTAGATGCAGCAAAAGGTTTTCCCCTGCTATTCTTGAAATCCACCCAAAACCTTTTTGTATAAGCACTAAGAAATTAGTATATTGAGTCATCAGCTAAGAAAGCAGGTAAAAATCCTCTCTCATCGTGCTGTGTCTGTTGGGGGCTTCTCCAATGATTAAGAAAGTAAAGGCAAAAAGAAAACAATTTTTTCACTGCTTGACTCTCCAGAAAAATATGAGACCATGCCATGTAGCTATGGGAAACAAATTGGGCATCTGTGCCAACGTGCACTCTGTGGACATAGCAATGCTATTTAAGTTTATAGTAGGTTGGAAGTAAATAAATAAATAACCGACAGTGGGGTTTTTTTGAAGGGATTAGAGGAGTTTGAACGTTGTCGGAGGTGGCGTTTCAGTGACAGTGAAAAATGCAGAAAGAGAAAGTAAATAACTGCTGCTGGCAGGAGAAAAAATTCTACGGGGAACTGAACCACATGATGAGAATTACATGAACTGGAGCAGGATTCAAGGGGCTACTAAGCTGCAGTAAAAAACATAATAAAGTGGCCAAGTAATCAGATAAAGATGAAACCAGCTCAGGTAGGCACAGTGAAGGTTAAGTAAAGAGCAAACTTTAATGGAGACTTCAGTGAAAATGAGTTGGCTCCTTTAACAAAGAGAAGAGATACACATTTGAGAATCAGGTAGCAAAGGAACCAACAAATGCAATATATGGAGTCACAGTGGCACCCTGGTTAGAAATGCATATGAAGACAATACATTATTAAATTATGACAGTCACTTTCTGAATGGGCCTCACCCCTATTGTCTGGTATTCCAAGGAGAATTTAAAGAAAAAAGTAAAAATGATCAGTTGATGGACTTTCTCCTGAGGACTTTATTCATAACGGACAGTCTAGCCTGAGGTGGGGGTCCTCCCAAGAGACAACTTTCTCCAGAATACTTTTTGCTGCACAAATTCCCTTTAAACAATCAAACCATAAAAATAAAGGGGTGTTTATCACCAGAGGTGTCTTTAAAGACTTTCCTTCTAAGAGAGAAATAAGATTCTGATGTGCAAGGATCAGCCCTGTGGCATCCTCATTCCTCTGACCTTGGGATGAAAAAGCACCTACAAAAAAGCAGATCAGCCTGTTCTGGATGGAGCTTACCTGCTATCACTAAATACCTAGCACTAACAACGAGTAAAGATAAGACAGGCTTTCATTGCCAAACGGAGCTGGAGAGCACATGAGAGGAGTGAATCATGTGTCCTTCCATGTATTGAGAATTTTGGGATGATACCTCTACTTTTTGCTTTTCTCTATACTCAAGAAAGGAGTCATCCCTTACGCCACTTCTATTTATAAATAAAGTTGAATTGCTGAGTGCTAAAGGAAAGCAAAGTGGTTGGTCAGCCTGGATTTAAAACAGGATCTGTCATGTCCAATACCTGTGGCATGTTTAACTACGTGCTTTAAGAGCACCGCTTTGCAAAAGTCTGGAATGCCCCCCAGTAGTTCTTCTTTTCTTTTGTGGAGTCTTTACCACAATTTTTCAGCTCAAAATCTGAATGAAGTTATGCCTTGCGAGCAGCTCTGTAGTGTATTGCAATAACAAGTGGAAAAAATCCATCATGATATTTCTTTAATGCCCTTGGTATCCTCCAGAAAATGTGTATGCTGAAATCTGTATGTAGTAAACGCTTCCCCTCTACTTAAAAAAATAGACAACAAAGCAGTGAGATCTGTAAATGTACGCATCATGCTGTGAATCATATGGTAAGTTTTGTTCACCTTTATAATATGAGCAGTCTAATAAGCCCTTCTAGCCACTGTTTCTCCTGTTAAGTAGCATCATCTGCCATTGACATGGGACTACAGCAGGGGAAAGGCAAATCTGGTGTGTACAAAGCAGCAGAAATCACCCCAGCGAAATCACTTGACAGAATAACCACTTGTCAGGGCTGGTAATCTTGGCTGGAATATGAGTAGTTGAAGGTCTGAGTGATATATATGTATTTAAGGCAAATAAAATAACCTTTGTGTCATGGTATGAGTTTATGGCATTTCCCCACCAGCAGCAGATGATGCTGCGCGGGGACCAGACTGTGACATTCTGTCTCAAATGTTTCTTGCTTTACAATACACAAATGTCCCCTTGGTTTAAATGGGACTGGCTGTTCTTTGTGAAGACGTGGGGCCAACGGAAAACGTTCTGCTTTTTTAACCTTTAACTGCATGTCTTACCAACAGTGGTGAGTGTATAAATCATATAATTAGCTGCAAAACTGAGGTGGCAGAACCGACTTACATTGTTGCCATGGCTTAATAAGCTTTGCTTTAGCACTGAGATGTTTTGTCGGGAAAAAAAATCTGATTAGGACAAGCATTTTGGATTGTATGCTTGCATCTGCAAATGAAGAAGAGGGCAAAAAAGTATGTTTGTTCTATTAAAAACCAAGTATATTCTTTTGTCTTCTCAAAGTAAGTTGTAAAGCTAGAGTCTGTATCTGAAGTTTGTCTTGTAGAAGCCTTTTATTTAGTTTGTGTGTGATGGAAATATGATGGAATTGTATTTCTAGCTTGAAGACTATTTTGGAATACTTTCAAGGAAGCAAAAGTGGCCAAATCTCTGCCAGGTCCATAAAGAGATTTTAATCACCAGTAGCAGAGCAGTCCTGGCTCTGTGCCTATCTGTATTATCAGGTATAATTGGCCTTGTCATTTGCTCTTTGGGTCAGAGGTTCTGTCTTGCCTGGATCATTCAACCATATGAAAAGTGAAGGAAAAGTGAATGTTTCCACCGATAACGTATGTGGAATTGGCATTGGTTTCTTCTAACTCAGTGATAATTTCTTCTACCTTGGGGCTTTGCTCCTGTTCATTAAAGCTCCCATACTGACACCCAGGTGGTGGGTCTAAATCTACAGGGCCATGTTCAGACCTGTTATCCCATTCCTGCTGCTGCTGGAGGTGGCGCTGGGCTAGACCTTGCCTGAACCATGGGGATGCTATGCTGACCAGTTCGCTGCTGACTTCAGTGCTGCTGGAATTTTACCCTATATTTTTGGGAGCCCTCTTCTGTTTCAGAAGGAATATTTGAATGTATGAAGTGAGGTCTAGAGCTGGTAGAAAATATTACTGTATAGGAGTAGTGTAAATTCATACAGATAGTGAAGACTGGCTTGAGCAATCCTAACACACCACTCTGCTCTCGTCTCTTACATGATGACTCTGTTTTCTTTTCCCTGTACCCTGGATACCAGACACCACGTGTCTCTGCTTGAACCGTGTAGTCCCATTCCTCCAAAATAATTTCCAGAATGGGGTAGTTATATGGAATGCAAAAGATACCTGATTTCAAAGCTTTTTTTTTTCTCTTCCATATACTCTTTAGAGACTGAATAACAGCAACAGAGGAATCTCACCTCTAGAAGCTCTATGTTATATGCAAAGAGAGAATTGTGGGGGTCAAAAAAAAGTTTAAAAATCAGAGTTTTACTGGGGCTTCCAAGAACACCAGGGTTTTATTCTGTTTCCAGCACCCAGCCCACTGTCTGTTTATACTTCTAGCTCCTCAAATATTTGAAGTGCAATGCACGCAGCAATAACAGATATTTCACTTTCCTAGAGATGCCACTTCTATTAGCCTGCACATCAATAACTTGGGCTTTTGGTCATCTGAAGCCAATAGCACATGGCTTCAGGAAAGAACTGGAAAGAAGCAGCTGTGTGTTTCCTCGGGGGTGTCTGCCCTCAGCCTGCTCCATCTGCCTCACACCGATGCAGGTGCTTTATGAGCGCCCGTTTTGGCGAAGCACTAAGCACCTTTACCTCCCACTAAGCAAGCGAGTTCAAGCACTCAGGGTTGTTTCAGCAGCTGCTCTCTGAGAGTAAAGGAGATATAGCTTCCCCAAATATCTAGCTAATGTTTCTTCCTTGCTAGGGGTTGCTAAGTAGCAGTTTTTGTCAACCTCCTATCTGGTATCAAAACCTAAGAATATAAATCCTGTGATTTGCTAAGACACCCCTGACGAGGGAATGGCTCTGAATCCTTCAACATACAGAAAACTAAAAAACCGTTATCGCTAGGGAAGAAGCGTTAACATTAGCATTTACAATCTGTGGAGGAGAGGCTTCTTCCACTTATTTTCAGGAGAATAATTTAAGAATTGCATTAAAACAGTCTAGTCTACATGCAAATTTGATTTTTGACCTTTTGTGCTAATCAAAAGCCATGGTGCTAAAAAGCTGTGTACATTATTGCAGAAAGTATGGAGCAGAATTAACTAATATACCTTCAATATGGTGGTAACAGATTTGAAGGTTATTTCATATACTTCACTACACAAGGATCGGGATCTAAATCACTAGAAATGCTTCAAGTAGCAATTATTAACTCTTCATGGAGATCCTGGTGATATGTGTAGTATAGTAGGGGTAGCAAATACAGCGAGTAGTTTTGGTGGTTACGTGAAGTAGGGATATAATAGGCCATAAAGATTTGAGAAAATTGCATGCAAAGAGTTTTTAAATAAACTGGGTACACTGTTAAATAATTAGGGCTACTTTAAAAAAGTATCTAAGCCCCATTTGAACTCTGTTCCTAACACATTTCAGGAGGAGCATGTGCAAAATGAATTACCCACCAAAAAGCACACGTCGTTCACACACACAGAGGCTTCTGCCACCATACACACTACACGCCAGAAAGTACATTTTATACTCACAGTTAATTTGGTGCTTCTTATAAAATCTATTACTGGCAGGATCTTTCTCGCAGTGTTCTCCCAATACATTTTTGTTTCTTCTTCTGTGAGAGGACTGAACGGTGTTTTCTGGTCTAGGAAAGGGAATCACAAAACCATATACTGTGTTTATTATATATGTTTTCCGTAGAGTATCTAGCAAGATGACAGGTAAAGTGGAGGAGGAAAGAGGAGGATGGGGATAGCTGTCTGGACAGTCAAGGCTGCCAGCACAGAGAAACGGGTCCCAAGAAACTCCTCAAACCCTCTCACTTAGCAAGGAGCATGGAGGTTACTTCTGAGCTATCCCAGCTATTAGGCAAGTTGGCATACCTGAAAAGATTGGCAGTTTTCTACCTGACAGCCTTTCCAAGATTTTTCCAATACGTTTGTTTCTGAAACCCAGAGTCAGTGAGTACTTCTGGGGAGGCAGAGACAGCCACTCAGCCGTCTGTGGCAAGATGTGAAGTCCATGAAGTTCTGGAATACGGAAATAAAAATAATTTCCACTGTCACATTTCAGTTGTAAGAGAGTTACTTTTTGTGAGGGGAAAAAAAAAAAAAAAGAAATTCTAAGGAGGAGTGAAAAGTGATCTAGAAAGCTTGCCAAAACAAAGGTGGCTAAACCAACCCATCCAGCTATAACAGGGTTTTGAAATTCCAGACTTTCCAACCTTTTGCATCAACAGCTTCAATTTTGCTGAGGCATAAGATAAACATGTTCTTGCCATTTAGGCACTTTGCAGTGCTGATCATCTAAAGCATTAATAACTCAACACTTCAGGAACAAAACATCCTGATCTTTTAACTGCAAAGGGAGCTGTTTTATTGTTCCCTGAATTTGTGAGGTTTGATTTCCTACAGATTTGTGCATTTGCCATCACCACCACCATAATCCCAGGCTTCCTGCATGTCCCTTCTCATCCACCCAGCTGGCATGTGACAGCCTGTGCTGTAGCTTGTCCAGAGTTTGTGACTGCTGCTGCCAAAAAACCTGTGTATCCACGGAGTCGGTCTGCCCTGACCTCATCGAGGACAGATGCTCAGAGCAATTGCATAAACCACCTTTGCTTAGGGAACCAGACCAGTTCTTTCCTCCCTCACCTTCCCCTGCAAAAAATAAACCTAGATTGAATGTCAGTGTCACTTTTCACAAAGGAGTGCTCTGTTTTCAGTGAGCTCTGCTTTTAAGATGCCAGGCTGTGCGATCACGGTGACAAATGGAGAACCCCACTCAGAGCTCTCTGGACTTACCCCTCTATAAATCAAAGCGAGTGGACCTGATATTTCCCTTGCAGCATATTCTGCTTCTGATGGATTCTCAATTTTTCAACAAACTGCATTGTACACTTGGATTTAAATGTGTATCTGCTGCTTTTCCCTGGCAATAAGGAAAACTTTGAAATCAGTTCAGTCCTTACACTCTAGCAGAACTTGGACAAAAATGGATGGATGATTGCTACAGAATAGGAAGGTTATTTAAAATAACATGTTTGTGAGACATCTGATATTTCACACCCACTGTTAAAATGGGGCTTAGCTCATATTTTTAATTTCACCTATGTGAGATACAGACCTGCGGGATGAATGCTCCGTGGTACCACACTGACAATGAGCTAAACTTGTCTCTTGTGATTTCTTTTCTTTGGTGGGCAGTGTGATTTTAGGTTGGATCTGAGTAGATAAGTTGATTAACCCTTACTGCTTTGATTGACTTCACCTAACACTGTTGTGAGTTATCTCAGCATCGAGTCTAGGAAAAGAAGCTTTGTCTGCTCTGTCTGAGAGGGTTTCCAGTACAGAAGAGAGGGAGGTCGGGAGAGGTCCTGCCTGCGTGAGACCTCTCACACCACTGCACTCTCAAAACCTCCATACCCATATTATTTTCTTTTGGCTATCTATCTCATTTAATTCCTAGAAACTTCAGTGATCCCAGAACCTGCACTCAAAGAAACTTGTGTAAAATTGAAGCAATTCTTTTAACCGGTAGGTTTTTATAAACAAACATATCTGAAGGCAGAACTGTCTCTATTCAATCCGTTTTATAATTGCCTAAAGTACTATAGGACTGGGATCTTTTACCCCCCTTTTTTTCTCCTTCTTTCTTTTCCTTCTTGGGAGGAGTAAGAAAAGGACTGGTGACATTTTCAGAGTCATTCAGTGATTTATGAACACTAACGGTTTTGGTGCCACGCTTGCACAGTTTTGCTGCTTATATGCTCCTGAAAGACTCACCCCTGCTGTAAACTGAGGGAGTTATGTAAAATATGAATTTGTCTTTTTAAAAATCAGATTCTGGGAGTTTTATTTTATGCTCCTTTTAATGCTGATACTTTTGTCCCAGGAAATTGTCCACGAAGCCACATCAGCAAGTAAATGGTAGGCAGATATTTTACAGCCTCTGTGATAGATAAGTCCTCATTTTCCCTCTTTGAACAACCCCAAAGCTACTGCCAGAAGCCCAATACACGGATGGTCTGCAACTTGCAAACACAATCTAGTTTTATACTGGTTTCCTAAGCAAAACAAAGATGAACAAAACAAGTTTTCTTCTGTTAAATATTTGCAGTTTTGTAGGAAACACTTGATTTCCTAATTCCTATTTGTGTTTTTCAAATAGATTTTCTTTTCTCCCCAGAGACACAATGTGTATCCTTTGGCAGCCTGATTTATCTGTAGGGTGCTGGAGCTCAGCGGAGGCGTGAGGACTAAGCCATCATCTCTGACCTGAGTGTATCTCTGGCAGGGACTGGGCAGCACCTCAGCCTTTCTGACCACCCTGCTGGAAGTGGCAGTGAGGGGTGAACTACACATCTAGCTTGTGTGACAAAGATAGAGGCTTTCCAGAATTCGACAGGAGCAATGTATTTTCACCATTATGTTTCTCAATCATGAACTCAAAGCCAAGTGTTATCAGGGTCAACTGTGTTCCAAGTCACCAGGTTAATGATAGTAAGAAATGACTTTTATCCCCCTGTCTCTCTTTTGCCAAAATGTCATGCCCATCCCTCTTTAAATAAGGCTGTGGTCACCAGAATTTAAGCATCTGTTTACTCCAGGAGATGCTTTTTGAGTTCACTTTGCCAGGATCTGCAGGGATGAGCATTGGTGACCAATGGAAATCCATTGAAATGGAATGAATGGACAGCTTTGCTGTCATCACACTACACTGAAAATCTACCTCTGAATCAAAGTTTAGTTGCAATAATGAAATTCAACAATGGAAACGTGGGCTTCAAGGATACAAATTGTCTTTATAGAGATTTGCAGTGTGAAGTCTTTACTTTGCCTAAGCACTGATTTGGTTACCTAAATCCTGTATAATCATAGATCAAATGTCAGAAGTTAATTCCCCCCTTCCCTGCGAACTGTAGAAATGTCTTGAGTTTAAGCTCCAGACTCTCTCAAACTCTCTTCAAGTCAGCCACACACATACAAACAATATACAGTGCTTAAGAGCATGTGAAATCTGCTGTTACCTGTATAGATGTGCTCCACGTAATCAGGGTGCCTTTTAGCAAACATGTTCTTTATCTTGTTTATTTTGTCAGCCTTGAGTTCTGACACAAATGGTGTGTACATAACTGAAAAAGATACTTCTCTAGTGATGGCTTCTTCAATCATAGCCTAAAAAAGGGTTAAAAATTCATGTCAATTAATGGCTAGTTAAAAAAAAAAAAATTACTTTCTCAGATGATATTTTCCCTTTAATAATTGCACAGTCATGCAAAGATAACATATTTTGGTCCTGAATATTAATTAGAGGGGAATTTAAATTAGTTCCAGAAAACACTGACTATCTATACTCAGAAAATCAATTTAATGGAGAAAGAACATTTGTAAACAGTTTTCAGAGCACCGAGCCTATGTCTTCAATGAGGAGAAAAGTATTAGATAAATTATCTTTTAGATGAAAAGAAGAAAGGGATTCCATGCTCTCTGAAGGTCACATCTTCCATCTGAGGGTTTTATTTAGTCCTTGGGAGCTGGTTAAACAATACTAAGCATTCATATTACCCCTTGGGTTGGCATGAATCAGACACTGTGCCTATACGGAATATTAGTCTTAAAATATTGCATTTAAACACCATTTGCATTAAGATTAAAATTCACTCCTGTGCAGAGGGCAACACGAAGCTTATGAACCTTGTCATCCCTTAGAAATGGCTCAAATGATGCATCGTGCTGGTCTTACGCAGAGAGGTGGATTTCACACTCGGTGGACCCCAATGAACTGGTTGGCGCTGGAACTGCCAGGAGGAGCCACCAGCCTGGAAACAGCCTTGCTCAGCACCCTTATCGATCAGGGCAAGGGAGGTTGAGCTGCAATCCCTCCTGGGTTAGGGTTTGGGAAAGAACGTGCTCAGCACTGCTTTGGCTGCAGCTGTGGCTAACAAAGATTTTGTCTTCTTGACGTGGGCAGTCCGTTCTGGAAACTGGGGGAACAGCAAAGCTTCATACATGTAACACGGCAAAAGTGTAAGCACGGTTAAGAGAGACAATCTGAACACAAAGTTAATAAAGATGGTCAGAAAAGCATGAGAGGAAAACACATGTATATTTTTAACAGGGTGTACAAATCTCCCAGATCACCTTACACACTGAAGTGATTCACAGAACGTATCATTATGGGAATAGCTTGGCATCTTATTGACATGTCCTCACTTCTGCTCCCCAGTCTATCCTATGTAAAATTATCCAAGACATAGTGTGCCTCCAAGAGTCATTTGTTTAGCTGATGACTGCTCCCACCAACCCAGAATGGAAGGCTGAGTGCCAACTGGTTAAGTATCTACGTCCTTCTCTTTAATGGCTTTAGACAAGAGGTTCTCTGGTATGGTCTTATGCCAATTTATTTTCATCCTGTTTATTGGTATGGGGTGTGCAGAAATACCATAGAAATGCTATAATTATTTTGAGCAGATATTGGGACAGGCTGCCATACATGCACCCTGAGTGCTCTTATGCTGAATACTCTGCTGGGCTGTTGAGGGTGTCTCTGGGGATTTGTTTATGTTGTAGATTACTATATTTAAACAGCCCATTATCCTGCGTTTACTGGAATGGAAGCAGCCTGGAGTGGCCAGTATTTAGCCTCAGAAAATTAACAAGCTTCAAATGTGTGTAATAGTATCGTGACCACCCGGGGCAGTAATAACTTTCCTCCCCGGTGAGGAGTTGCAGCTTTCCATGGGCACAGCCGTGTCATCCATGGTTAATGCCACAGATCTGGAGGTATCAGACCAGAAAATAGCAAGTGTGTCCTCCTGCCAAGAGCTCGGGGGCCCATGAATGGATACGTGCCCGTTTCTCCCTGCAGGAATACTTACCAGTCTACACTGATTTATAGGAAAGTGATTTTAGGATTTCATATTTCCATGGACTTTAATTATCTTGTCGTTTAGGGCCCTTAGAGTATCAGTGGCAAAACAATGGTACCAATCTAGCTTTTTTAATGAACATTTTTAAAAAAACGGAGGCCTGCTTGTTCAAGTTTTATTGAATTTTGTGTGTAAATATAGGCACAGAATTAGGTTAGCCTTATTTTGTGTGAGATGTTAGGTATTCTGCTTATTTTCTATAGTCTGGCAGCCACTTCCTAGTCTGGATTAATATGAGAATGTGGGTTTGGGTGTATCCATACGCTTCAGATTTAAAATACACGGAGTAAGGCAGTGAGATGAAAATGTGAGCAGCTGGACCAGACAAGCTCTGTATTCTGCCTGCAAAGTTCACTTTTGGCTTTCTCATCCTCAAGAGCATTTCAAAGTCACACCTATAATATCTCTGCATTGCCATGTACCCATGGCTACTCTGCACAGCATGCAAATAGTGACTAGCTCAGAGGGCAATAACGGTAAAATGTCAGCCAACAGGGGAAAGAATGGATCCGTAGTCTCTGGTCAATACTGCTACTGAAGGTATTATTATTACCCAAGAGCATTATTTTTCCCCAAGCTACTGACCCTGGACATAGATGCTATTTGTTTTATGATCCTCTTGGATTTTTATGGCGTAAAGTCTTTAAGGATATAAAACTTCAGCCCATAAAAACTTTGGAGGAGAAAACTTTATACGATGAAATCCGTAAGGATTTCTCTGCTTAAGCCTTTATGCACTGAAGTCCATACCCATGGATGGATATCTGGCAACATGTCCAGGATACAGGGATTCCTACAGAACATCATCTGTCGTGTTGTACACCGTGCAGCTACTCAAGATATAGTCAAGCTGTGGAGAGGATTGCAGGAGCTCCAGTGGACCTTCAAGAGAGTCCTTGCAGAGAGGACAGGACAACTGTTTTTTCATTTGCATGTGTTTTGGTGTCTGCATCTGAAGGGTCCTTTCTGCAACATCCTCTCAGGTACATCAGGGACAATGTTGCTGTTCTGGCCTTGGAGTGGAAGATGTGTCAGGCTCTTTCATGAGTATGGAGATAGCTGTTAAACTGATAAAGATGATAAAGATTTTTTTTTTTTTTGCGTATCTTGCAAGTGAACTCTGCAGCAGTATCTCATCACATGGTGCTATACTCCAGCTTTCAATTGCAGCAGTTAGAAAAAGTGAAGTCCTTGAGATGACCTTAAACTATAAGAAAGAGCTCCTCTAGCAATGTGCAATAATGTAAGGACTGCGATTGACACAAGTTCACTGAATCTGGTGGTTTACCTCAGCAGTGGACAAAATCTATTGCTTCAGCAAGGATGGAAGAACTTGCTCAAGAAGAGGATGGAGAGTAATCTGATCATAGGGAAGATTTCTTTTTGTAGTTATGGGACTGACTCATGCTCTGCTATGTCAGGAGGTTTATATCCCTGTTTTGGAAGTGTGGGGAATCAGAGAAAGTCTGCAGAGAAACCATCTGGAGACAAAGTGTCTCAAGGAGTATTTATATTGTCAGCACTTCTATTAATAGACCAATTAATTCCTTCATGAAACACAAGCACTCACAAGGTTTGAGGGATGTACATTGCTATCATGACAATTAAAAAGCCAGAAGACATTCCTAAACAACAAACTTTGGTTTGATCAAGTGTTTAAACATATATTTGATCAAACACCACATACTCTTCTTCTCTGAGGACCTTGGCTCTACAATATCCTTACGTTCTACCATATCTAGGAATATTACATTTCACAAACCTTTTAATAAAACTTAAACTTTAGCCTAAACAATCTTATACCGTCCTTTCAACACCCACTAAAATTCTGTTAAGAGCTCATAAAATGAATAGGTAGATGCACAAGAAATAAAGCTTTCCCATGCCAACTTTTTGATGGTAAATGATATAACTACTTCAATATTTTTATGAAGCTCTTGCCATTTTGGCTGCTTAGAGCAGACATAGAAGAAGAAAAATGGCACTTCTTCATAACAGTGACAGGAGCTTCCCCTGCTACAGTCCCCAACCTTAATCCTCTTTAACTACAGAAAGGTTTAATTTGGAAAATCCAATTATCTTGACATCTAGAATTAGCCAAAAATTTAGATATCTTTCTAGTGCCTTATCTTGCAGCTGCAGTGCACGCTCAGCCACTGTCTCATTTACAGTACAGCAGGAATTGATGCTTTTATTGATGATTTTTATTAATGCAACGATATCAGTCAGGGTAAAGCCATTAGCCTTTTCTATGAACTGCTTCCACTCTTAGGCTGGTAGTTAGAATTATGGGTGCACTGCGGTGCAACCTATGCGCTTTTCTCTATATCTTTCCAACCATAAAGAAGTATCTGGCAGCCCTGCCACTAAGTCTGTTGCTGTTGTGATATGAATATCTTCTCGCCAGCATGATCTTCTTACATCATTTTTATTTTTATTTTTATTTTTTCTGTGGGAAAAATTAGTAGACAGAGTGCCAGAGCATATCCTTTTCTCAATATGTTTATGGTATGAATAAATCATGTATTGTAAAATAGATGAGAACTTTCTGCTTATCTGCCATGTAATGCCTCCCCATTAATGTAGGTCACATCAAGTATCAGCTTATTTAGGGTCTTAAGTTATTAACGTATTTAAGTCTCCACGAGTTATTTTGTATGCAGTATATTTTGAAAGCCGATTTGCAGAGTGCCACAGCGATAGATCCATGTATTCCGCTGACTTCTGAAAGGCAGAGTCAGATGCAGAGGGGTTACCTTAGGCTTCAAGATCTGTTTGATGCTCTATTAAGTATTGCTTTATGTTTTGGGAGAAAAGAAATCCATGGGAGAAAAGAAATCCATGCTTTATATCCTTCCAAAGACATCACTATTCATTAAAGAAAAATCCCGGAATACACAGAGTGTGGAAAAGGCTGAGGCTGCTCTTGAAACTCTCTGTCCGTGATGCCGGCAGGTTGGACAGAAGGGACTGAGCACAGATGTGGAAATGCAATTCTAGTTTGGGGAAGATCTCTGCCCACAAGCCCGTCCTCTGGTCTCACAATCTCCTGTGCCTGGAGAGTGTCATAGGAGTCCTCAGCTCTTATATCACTTGTTACCAACTGAGGACCTTACGCTTTCATCTCAGCACGGGGGCAAATGGAAAGGATTTCAGTGTTTCTTTGCTATGGTGGAGTGACTCTGAGACCAATGAAACAGAGGCTATATTTGCTTTGCAAGGCTGATCCAGAGCATTGACCAGAGC